GTTACGGAAGAGATACAATTTGAAGTTATATAGATATCTATATGACTTTAAATTGTGTCTCTTCCATAACTTACATATTAATTCGTTTAAAAATTTTGTTCATTTACTCAACAAGATCTATATTTTAAAAAAATGAAGCGGTTTTTTTGTTATTTTAAAATTTTTCAATAAATTTGTTAAAAAATCTGGTATTTTACTATAGATTTTCGCGATTGTTACACACAAAATTGTTCATATGGGACTATACATATATTTGATCAAACATAGTACACTGGACACCCCACCGTACTGTACATACATACGTACGTACGTGGTGTCGTGTGACCAAATGTGACTAAATATTTCAAGCGAGAAAGTCATGTCAGTGAAATAATCAATTTTGGAAGTGGCAATATTGTCACGAGACAGTTCTAGACATATATATTCATAATTATAATACCTGTTTTTGACGCTATTTTATATCAGGTATATAAACTTGGACGGACCAGGCCGAAAAAAAAAACTTGCAGTATAATATTCCCACTCACAAATCATATACAGTCATATGATTAACAACAAAATAAAAATTTTGCCTTTAGAGTAATGGAAACAGGTTTTTTTTTATGTTAAAAATCAGGATATTTTTTGTTATATTAAGGGTTTTCCAACTATATCTGGCGCTATTATCTACATCTTGCATCTAAAGGTTTAAGATATCATGAGCTAAAATTTTGATAATCTATTCACAAATTAATTCAAATGTAGCGGTAGAACTCTAACTCTCAAGATTTTACATTAATGAAATATTAACTTCGATTTCTTTATATTTTCTCATTGCTGACATCGAGGTAAAGTAAGCGTAGTTTCTTTTAACAACGAATATAATATAAGTAATATTTTTATATTGTTAATAATTAGTGACTACAATGTTGTCTTGTTCTTTTGTTGAGTCGTTACAAATAAGGATTTACAGTTTGGGATAAATTAATACGTAGTACGTAGTATAAAAATTTACTAAATCTATCTCCATTATAAAGTCTAGTATGGGGTTGGTGTTTGATTTATATATGATTATAATAGCGATAGTAATAATAAAACCAATAGGGCGTACGTACTTACCGGAATTCTGTGGTCGGAATTTTGCGACAAATATGTATTACGTATTAATATACGTTTAAAGTAAAGGTATTACGTTAACGTATTGCGGTAATAGATAATGAATCATAATCGTTGCACAAAAAGTGATCTTGCGTTTCAATCATACTTTATGTTTATATTGTTTATGCCATGCCCATTTTCTTTTTTTTTTTATTTATTCTTTTATCAATTCAGCAATTTTGGTTTATTGGTCACAAGATCTCACGAGACCTTTATCATGTCCGTAAAAGGTTAGATCATTTTTAAAATTTTTTTTAAAACATATATATATAGCTCCACAACCTAAACAATTTCATCGAAAAAAAATCATTTCATCAAAACTTTTTTTTTATTGCAAAAAAATACATACACATATTTTTCAAGAAACGAAAAATTATTACAATATTTTTACAATGACATACCTACAACTACAACAATCAGAAAGACATCCCGCGTATGGGCCTATTATTGAAGACGTTAAGGACTTAAATATTCCAACTTGTGACGATATACTCGATTTAGAGTAAGTAGATATATTTTTAGTTATTATTATAATGATACTACAATATTATAATCATATTACAAACATATTACAATATTATAACCATATTATAACCATATTATAACCGTATTAATCATATTACAATCGTTTAAATTCAACGTTTTGTAATCTTTTGTAGTGAGTTAAGTCAAGATAATAGTATCTTTCAGAATGCATTAGTTCCTCTTATTAAAAGGATTAAAGGTTGGAATGACATCACTGAAGGTTCTCAACTTATTGTCACTCGAGTTTCTGGTGCCCTCACAAATTGCGTATTCTTCGTAGAAAAGCGACGAGTTGTTAGTAATGGTAGTCCATTAAAAGTTGTCTTACGTATATACGGGAAAGGTGTGGATCAACTTTGTAGCAGAGATGATGAGTTAAAATGGTTAAAATTCCTTTCTCCATACGGTATTGGTCCCGAATTATTATTAATCTTTGGTAACGGAAGGTTTGAAAAATTCCTTGAATCTATTACTTTGACTTCAAAGGAAATTCGATGTCCGAACACTTATATTCATGTTGCAAAGCGTATTGCTGCTCTTCATAATATGGCTCACATATATCCTCCTGAACAGGGCACTGATCCTCTAGTTTGGACTAATATTGCAAAATGGTATACCATTGTGTCGAACAATATCCAAAATTTCACTGAAAAACAGAGGGTCATTTTACAAAAATTTAATTTATCATCCCTTAAGGATGAAATCCGATTATTGAAAAAGAAATTATTGTTAATTGACTCTCCAATAATCTTGGCTCATAACGATGTAAGTTATTCTCATTATTTTTGTTACTATCCTACATTGTTAATAATATCATTTGATTATCATTACTAATAACGTGTTATTTCCAACTTTAAGCTTCAACCAGGAAATATTCTTAGACTTACCGACGGATCAGATGAACTGGTTGCCGTGGACTTTGAGTATGCTGGTTATAATTATCGAGGGTTTGATTTAAGCAACTTCTTTTGTGAGTTTATGTTTGACTTCCACGATCCAAAACCTCACGTTTTGCATAAAGATCGGTACCCAAAAGAAGCTGACAAGCTAAAATTTTTAGAATCTTATTTATCCGATGATTCTATTTCTACTATATCTGATGATGTATTACAAAAACTAGTAATAGAATGTGATGCATTTGCATTAACTAGTCACGTAATGTGGGGACTATGGGGTTTGATCCAGTGTCTACAAAGTAATATTAATTTTGATTACTTTGAATACGCAATGCAACGACTTAGAATGTTTCGAGCTCTTAAAAATAAAATTTATAAAAAGATTGACAAATCTTTTTCATGACTGAAAAAAGTTTTCAGTACTGTGAAAATTTAAACTTTGTTCTTAATGCATTTTAGAATTGTGTTCTTTATGCATTTGTTTGTCGTATATTTTTTTTATTACGTTCTCTTTCATCTTTCGAATTTTTGGATTGAAGTAAATCAGAATCACGAATTTTTAGTTTGTCAGGAACTGCTGTAATTACTGTAATTAAAGAACTATATAGTAACATTGTTGTGATGTTCTTAGCTTTATATTTTTTTAACAATATATAGATTGTATATTATCTAGACGTGCTTCACTATGTATAAATAATAGTTATTCCAAATATATAATATTTTTATTGTTCCAGTTACATTAATTAATAATTTTCAATAAAAAAAAAAACATTCTAAAATAATTTTAACAGTAATGAAAGTTACGATAAAATAGGGAAATTTCAAATCGCGCATCTCAAAAGATCTTCAAAATTAATTTTCTACGTACAAACGTACAAAAAATTTAGATGTTTACTTTAGGAATTGATTTCTTATCTTAATCTTTTCTAAAATAGTATCGATGATTTGATTTTGGGAAATGGCGTCTTACAACTATAAATCTTCCCTTTGACATGCGTAACTTTACTTTTTAAGCTATATATACAGTACAAAAATGGTTAGTTAATGATGAAAACATTCTCTTTTGAGATGTCCATACCCCAACTTTACGTATTAATTATTATTAAATAACACATGAGCGTGCATGTTTTATTCATGGTATACATTAATCAAACTGTTAAGGTGATACAGTATGTACGATATATCAGGTCATATGATACGTATCAGGTATATCTGATCTGATATATAATAAAAAAGGTATAGCAGAGTTCTGACACCGAATGACAAACAGTTTATAATTTTTTAAGTTAGGCTGGAGCAAAGAGGAGTATCCCATTCGGATGATATCAGCCCTGCCCCCTGTAATAATTTTGATTTATCGCTATTCTCCGGAAATAACGATAATAATAAGTTAATTTACTAGTATTTTTTGTATTAAAATCGGTATGCCATTATTTTTTTCAACTTTTCGCAACACACTCACAAATATTCCTACATCCATTCTTCCTTATGTATATCTTTCTCAAATTTCTTATGAGAAAGCACTTAATCTTCAAAAACTCTTGGTTCGACATCGATTTGAAAATAAAAATTCTTCAGATTTACTTTTACTATTACAACATCCTCCGACCTATACAACTGGAAGAAGAAATATTGGAAAAACTATGGATGAAGAGGCACATTTAAGGAAACTGGGCGCTCAATATTTTGAAGTAAGTTTGTTTTTAGTTTTTCCATTTTTGTTTAATTGGTTTACTAATTAATTTAAGGTATAGACATTACGCGGTGGTCAAACAACATTCCATGGGCCTGGTCAATTAGTTGGCTATCCGATTTTAAATTTAAAAAATTTTAAGGTATGTTTAAATATATGTAATAAATGATAATCGAATTAAAATTATTTGAAAATCCATTTAGATTTGAACCAAAATCTAATCCACACCCTAACTCCAATCCAATAACTTAGTCCCATTTCTACTTACAATATATTATTATTCTATGTACTTTAATGTGTCTAACTTTCTAAATATTTCTCTTTTGTCAAGCTTTCTGTACGATGTTATGTTGCAGCAATTGAACATGTAATCATTAATACATGTGCTGCGTATGGTATTGTTGCATCTACTACTAAAGATACAGGTGTTTGGGTTGGGAATGATAAAATTTGTGCAATTGGTAAGACTTATTTAAATTTATTTTCACTTTTCCTATAGTTACTCATAAAAGAAAATTGATTTTTAATAATTAGGTATTCAAGTACAGCGTTTTATCACCTCTCACGGATTTGCACTAAACTGTAACACTGATCTTAGTTGGTTTGATCACATTATTCCTTGTGGACTTAAAGATAAAAAAATGACTTCTCTAACAAATGAATATGCTAAAGAAGAAAAAACAATTATTACTGTTGAACAAGTTATCCCTACTTTGTGTCAACATTTTGGATATGTTTTTGGACGATCTTTAAAGCCATTAAAAGATATCAACAATGAATCTGATAGAGTCTTAATGCAAATAATAAATAGGCTCTAATTCCAAAAAAATTATTTAATTAAGATAAAAAAAATATTTTATGTTTTTTGTATTTTTATACAAAGCAAATATCTACTCTTGGTTTTGTTTTACTTTTTTTGTACCAACACTATAAAATAGACTCTTTCATAGCAAAGCAACTGAATTTAATTATTTATTGATTGGTTTTTTTTTTTTACGCTGTTCTTCATCTATCTGATTTATTTTTTTTGGTCACTTTTGAATTGCAACTTAAAATGTAATGATACATATTAATAATTAAACTATTGATTATTATTATAATAGGATGAAAAAAACAGTTTGGATAGTTAAAAAAATCTTTTTGTTATATTTAATGAATACAAAATTCTGATATAGTAGTTTATAGATTATAAAATACAAGGCTTAATATCTACGCAATATTTGTTATTTTTAAAAAAGAATTTTACATAATTGACTATTTTATGAATTAAAAACCTTACTATATTGTTAAACTAGAATGCATTTTCATTAGATTCAAGCAAAATTTAAATCTCTATCGTTGAAAATAAAGGAAGAGTACCGATTTTTTTTTTACTATGAATTTCGGAAAAGCTATAGGGTATGTAAAAAAATGTTGATAATAATAGGACATCGCATACCCCAATAATGAATGAACCTAATCCAGTAATCAACAACTTTATTTACTTA